AGAGAGAGAGAGAGAGAGAGAGAGAGAGAAGAGAGAGAGAGAGAGAGAGAGAGCGAGAGATCCTCCCATTCATTCCAAATACAAAAAACAATCTTAAACCTGTAAAGAAAACCACTAATCGTTAGGAAGTCAGAAAATACGCAACTGTGTATCAGTTTCTTCTCCTTTTTATGACTTTTGATGAAAAATATACATCATTACATTAACTTTCTTTCCTTTTTTTTCTTAATCCGCCGCCCCCGAGACCGTACGCTTTCTCTCTCTCTCTGTCTGTCTGGCTATCTGTCTGTCTCCCTCTTTCTCACTTTTTTTCTTTATCTCTATCTTTCTTCTATTCGTTTTGTCTCTGTCTGTCTGTCTGTCCGCCTGCCTGTCAGTCTCTCTCTCGGTCAGCTTTGCTTTCTCGCTATCTTTCTTTCATCTGCCCCCTTCTCTTTACATTTCTCCCCTCCTACCTTTCGTTCTGACTCCCCCTCTCTCCCTCCCTCCCCCATGTCCTTAAAAAAAATCTCCCCGGGCACTATGCAGGAACAAAACTCTACGCTTTCCCACGTCATCTTTCAAAACAAGGTCTAACCTTCTGCTAAATATTTCTTCCCTTCTCCAAGGCCAGCGTCGAAGACCTACTAAAACATCCTCTAGTTACGTCTAACCAGTTACGTCTGAGAATCTAAATATAGTGTGTATTTTGAACAAAGCCGCCCTTACACGTTTGTAATACCTGAGAAATCCCAACCGAAAAGGAAACCTGCAAAAGTTTACAGACGTTACTCCCCCTTCAAAAAAAAAGTTAGGTTATTTCGACAGATAAATAAATATGATATCACAGGAGGAAAAGAGTAACAGAAACAATTAGGGAAATCCGATTTTCACAGCCCACTAAAAATATTTATCTGCTGCCCTCTTAAAATCATAATATAAGTTAAAAAAGTAAATGATATACGATACTGATAACAAAGATGATCCCTTTTTACGGCAATATCTTTATTTCTTTCAACATCCTACAAGATGTTACTCCCTCATAAGCGGCATCTTTATCCCTAAAGAAGTACGTATCCTTTCCCTCATCCCGAAACCTAGTAATCACCTTTCAAACCTAATTACCACTGTGTGCCATTCCCCAAGATGCAAACACATGGGTTCCGGTGCCTTTTTCTCCACTCCTCCCCCTCCCCCTAGACTCACACAGGCTCGGTTGTCCTACACAATCAACATTTGAAAAGAGAGCGTCACATGGAGTCCTGTATTTTCACTTAACACGCGATCCCCTCCGTATATGCGCATGTTCAAAAGATACCCCTCACAGTTAACACGGTATTTGAACAAACAGTAAAGTCCATTTATACGCACACAGAAAGTTGTCTATATTATTTTTCTTGGAAATTCACACGAATGTGAATTTGAATTATATGCAAAATCCGAGAAACTTGAATTCAGGTCCCAAAAGATAATCATTGCACATCCAAAGCGGACCAAAACGCGACCCAGTGTTTGTCCAGCCCAGTTAACAAACAGGGAAGTGCAGTATCATCACACACCAATTAATCAGTAATTGTGGAGAAGTAATAGGATGTTAAGCAGCGAGACCTGACTGTGCCCTGCAACCACTTGTTTGGCTCACCCGTCCTACAAGTGGTTCTATTTTTAGCACACTTTATCGAATTCCATTACAGCGGCAGGTACGTCTCGCTAAGTTCTTTTTTTTTCTCTTCTTTCATTTAAGGGGGTCGAGTAGGGGGAAGAGTCACCACCGTCACCCCCCTTCCCCAGCTCGTCCTGGGAGTGGCACGCCAGGGATCGGTTCAGTAAGTTTTCGCACTTTTGTTTATGGTGGGATTCTCTCCGTGGCCTTCTCAATACCGCCTGCTTTAATTAATGCACACAACACAGGCGACGTTACCACTATCACCGCTGCCCGCCACTTTCACTTACACACTGTGTCATAGGAAGCGCAATAATTCATCTTTCTCCGCCTATGGTTTACACTCAATGTCACTAAAACTGTGGCGGACCTTAAAGGTAACCCGGGACTCCAGACTCACAGCAACGTGAAGCCAAACTGGAGTTCCAAAAGCGATAGCCTTGTCATCTTGTTTCATTCTTCTCGTCCGACCAATTGGAGAGCCGGCGCGATGCAACGTCACAAATATTCGTGACGCAACTTTGACGTCACGCTTGAAGGCGGAGCTCCAGTTGCTATGGAAGCCGGCATTCCAGTTACTAGATATTTTTTTAGGCTTATTGGCCTCATATATCGCTTATGTTTTCCAGTAGCTATGATATTCTTCTTTAATAGTTCACTACTGTAAAATGTCAGTGTCGGAGGAGCCCCGAGTGAGGCGTATGCGAGTCGTCCAATGCAAGGTGCAGAGCAGGTCACGTGCCTACCTGCTGCAAGCTCCGCCCTCTCACATCCTCCCCCACCGCCACCTCACAACTCGCTAAGTTCATCACAGCCTGTCACCACCACCGCTTCAAGTCCCAAACATATTAAACATAT